ATTTATCTCAGGTTTATCTCATATTTATCTCAGTTTATCTGATTTATCTCAGGTTTCTCTCAGATTTATCTCAGGTTTCTCTCAGATTTATCTCAGGTTTATCTCATATTTATCTCACATTTATCTCAGTTTATCTGATTTATCTCAGATTTATCTCACATTTATCTCAGTTTATCTGATTTATCTCAGGTTTCTCTCAGATTTATCTCAGGTTTCTCTCAGATTTATTACATATTTATCTCAGATTTATCAGGTTTATCTCAGATTTATCAGGTTTATCTCAGATTTATCAGGTTTATCTCAGATTTATCAGGTTTATCTCTGGTTTGTGACAGAGTAAGTTTAACTCTGTGATTGTTTGGTTAAAGTCAGAGTCAAAGGTTACTTTGTGGGACGTAGCACAGAGCTTTAACTTTGTGTCAGTGACATAACTTGTTTTATTTTGACACATTCCAGGTTGAGTCAATAAGAGGTGTACATTGGTAATAAAATAGGACTGACTTATGACGAAGTCAGGTCATTAGGCTCATTTAGGATCTAGTTCCTTAAAACTCTTTTGAAGAAGAGGAATTTTATGAGTTTAGCATCATAGTTTTCATACAGATTTACCTGATTCACTGACTTGTTGGATACATTTAGGGCTCTACATTTACCTTTTCACGCTGACTGAATGTTAAACGTTCCCTCTCTGCCCTCTGCAGGTCGTGGTACTTCAGCCTTCACATCATCTGCATTCTGCTGGCTGTGGCCATGCCCGTCAAACCGAGACACCTGCGCCTCAAAGAGCAGCAGAAAAGCTGTCCCCAGGATCCAGTCCAGAAACCCTCGGAGGTCGCAGACAGTGCCTACGCGCAGAAAGAGAAAACATCATGAGTGGGTCTAAGAATAATCGTTTACATCATTTTTCCATGGACTTGTGTGAGAAGGACGAGGAGCCAAACAGGCTCAGGGATGTTCCTGCTGATTTAGGTACAGAAACACAAAATGGCCAAAAAACTCAGTTTTATTTGGATTCAGGGGGGAGATGTAAAAGAAAGCAGGTCCTGGATTGTATTTTCTTTCAAAGGAAGCTTAACTGCCAGAACTGACTACTGGCAGATTCAGAAAAAAAAAAAAGAAAATCTGCCACATAAGAGAAATTAAAACAAAATGTGTGTTTACACGGAGCAGCCTGAACTGCCTGAACTGCCATGGTCTCCAATTTTCTTTCTCAGAAACCCTGGTAACGAATAGAGAAAATTCTGGAGAAAAAAAATCATGTTTTTGAAACGATAGAAACACAAGCAGACGACTAAACGAGTTGTACGAGTAAAATCAACTTCGTCAAAGTATTTAAAGAAGTTAGTTTTGAAGAAAGTGCCAATATTTGTTCCACTCAGTCACCTTAGTTCTGATTTGTACAAAAAAGAAAGAAAAAGAAAGAAAATGCTGCTTTGGAAGAAGAAATGTGTCTTGATGTGTTTACATTTTTAGTTTTGGTTAAAGTTCTTGGTGTATTTAAATCAAAACCTGGTTTGGTTTTTTAAAAAAAGGAAAAAAAAGACAAACTTATTGGACGTTAGCTGAAACCGAGGTCCAACCCTACAATGTGAACTGTAATGCTGCTCAAGTCCTGTTCCACCGCCATGAAAACTAAAATAATTCATCGTTTATCAATTACTGGTTTAGTTCTTACGTATAAAAACAATAAAAACAGAAAGGTTAATTAACTTTGACCGAGTTTGAGCAACATTAACTCAAGTACTTAGGCAACAAACGTCAAATATCAGCATGAAAACTTCCACAGTTACTTTGGTTTTTGTGTTTTGATATTCGCAAACAATGATGTGTTAAAATGGGATCATCTGCAGCATTTCCAGCTCAGATTATTCTTGAAACTGAACTTTATGGCACTAACATGAAATTGAACGTGTCTTGGTATGCTCTCTTTTTATTTTATGTACATATTCAGAAAAAGAAGCGACACAGAAACAGTGTTAACGCCTGACAAAAACAGGGTGATTAAAAACCAAAAGTCTGGATTTAGAGCGTGGAGGAGTTGAAAGGTGACGTTAGGCATTACCGTCGGTCAGGAAACAATATTCACAAAAATAATCACACGAACTCCACTGCTTTTCATTTCTCCGTTGTTTATTTTGACTTTTTTATTTTAAAAGAAGAGGCTAACGATCCAGATTTAGCATCTCACCTGGAACAGTTGAACCAGTTAGCTTTAGTTTAGCTATATTTGTTTTAATTTGGCTAACCCGGTTTTTATTTAGTTTAAATCAGTTAAATCTAACTTAAAGTTCAGTTTGGTTGAAGTTTTGGCGTGACAAAGGTTAGCTAACAGCTCAGGAAGGATGTGAACATGTTAACTGGACACAGCAGAGGTCAAAAGGTCACTGGGAGAACTAAGAGCTTCTTTCATTTCCTGGTCCAAATATACTGGATAATATGTTACATTTGTCTGTTTTTGTTGGGTTTTTTTTGTGTTCCTAATAATAGGAATTTAAAAGTGACACGTCCACCGCCTAACTTTGATGACTCTTAAATAAAAACTAATAAATAAAGCGGAGCAGTAAGATTTATGGCTTTTCTCACAACAGCAGCCGATCTGAACAAGTCCCAGATTGACCTCTGACCTCTCAGGCTACCATCTTGTTGTAACACCTGCGTGAGTTAAATATTCAGAGCTGCTGGTCTAACAGTTGTTAACGATCACCCAGAGAGACAGCTGACATCTCTTTATTATAACACCAACTGGTTTCTGTTTAACTCCAAGTATTTCGTTCTCTTCTCTCCGCTGCTGTTAGTGTTACAGTGTTGTACCTCCCATCAGTAACTGCCTGTGTTTTTTTACTCTTTTCTTTCAATCAGAAAATCATATTTCTAACTATAGGTGTGTGTTTTACTATTTCCACATTTGTATTTCTGGTGTTTAGTTTCTTTCATGACTCCTGGTTTAAAATGTGAGAATGGTTATTATATGTGACGCAAATAACGGGGAACCATCCACGTATCTGTAGGTTTGATAAATGTTTGTTTGGACTACATGTTTAGTTTTTTTTTTTTTTTTGTAAATGTTGTGAATAAATGTTGGATTTTTTAACACTTTATGTGAACGTGTGAGAGATTCATTTGTTGTTGAATTTACTTGTAGTTGTTGAATTTAGACATTCAAGACCCCCAAACCCCCAGGTCAGGGGTCTGCAACCTTTACGATCAAAAGAGCCATTTCTGCTGCTTGTTTCACTAATAAAATGTGTCCAGAGCCGCAAAACACGCTGCAACTGTGATTATCAACTGGTGGTCCATGGGCCTTTTGGAGGCCTTTTCAGGAACATTTACGGCCAGTGGAGGTGACATAATAAAACTAAACAACATATTGTGAATTGTATTATTTATTGTTGTTGTTGTTACACATCAGGACAAATAAAAAGACCAGATTCACGTAAAAGAAAAATACTGTATATAGTTTACTCTGAATTTCATAAAAACTAGTACAACTGAACTATTCGAGCATATGTTTTTTCTAATTATTATTATTATGTAGTCATAAATGTATTTAAAGATAACCCTGGTGGATTTGAGAGAAAAGTCATAGAAAGAACTTATATTATTTAAGTAAACAACAGGCTAGCATGAGCTAACAGGTTTTACTTTAAATATTAAAAAAAACATTAAACAACAACAAAAACCATTCTGTTGTGTTTGGTCACATTTTCAAAGAGCCACTGCAGAGGGACTGAAGAGCCACATGTGGCCTCAGAGCCACAGGTTGCAGACCCCTGCCCCAGGTAAAACATGGAGGACCCACTAAACCAGGCGGGTAAGGACAAAGACATGGACTACTGTCTCAACGTACCTTGTTGGAAGGATGGGTTTTACTTATTTCAACAACTACCCTGATTTGAATGTCTAATTTATACTCAGGATCCAATTCAAACTCGAAATTCCTCCCTGTCTGTTTTCTGTACCGGACCAAATATCCTTTTATGTCCTGAAGATACAAAAGGTATGGAGTGATAAATCATGCAGAAGAGGCACATATACAGCAGGTAAAATAAGTATTGAACACGTCACCATTTTTCTCAGTAAATATATTACTAGAGGTACTAACGACATGAAATTTTCACCAGATGTCGGTAACAACCCAAGTGATCCATACATACAAAGAAATCAAACCATAAATGTCCAGAAATGAAGTTATTTGTAATAA